AATTGAGTCCCAAGCGATGATAACAACACACGCTAATAACGCAAAGGTTCATGGGTGGACGCTTGTTTGTAAACAATGACACGCTATGGCCATCTGGCGCATGCGCAGGTGACGACACCCCCGGTTTAATATACAAATACAAATCAGGCTATTTCTTTCTGAGAACCGAGAAATGACCTGTCGTTTCTATCCCTTTCTCTAGACTATGCGAAAACGTATTTAACATTATTTTGAATGCGTGATAGTATTTAATCTTCCAATACACGAATTTTGAGTCTTGAGTATTAACTTTTACGTTTATTTCATGTGGCAGTATCGACTCGAAGCAAATGAACGTGGTAGATATGGCGGAATCTGGCAGGCACCAGCATCCCACGATTTTGTGGCAAATCTCCCACAGCCGACAATCCTGTTGGAACGTTTCGATTCTTGGGTCACGGATGTCAGCACCATACAGAACAATCTACCATGGATTGACAGTGAACCATGGAGAAGCAGACCTGATTTGTTGACTACGTCATTTAGGAACACCGACCAATGGGCTGGCAGTATTGTGATGGAGAATGATGATGTTTATGGTGTCATGGTTGACGTAGCTCCTTGGATCATGGGATCGTCAGAGTCAAGCAATCCCTCAGCTATTTGGTATTGGATGAGAGAAGAACTAAATATTGGTAGATATTACTATTATAAAATTGAGTATGGATAGCTGGCAACTTTCATGTTTCCCGTGCATAACTATTCGCACACTGTATTTAGGCTTGTAGCAAATAAGTCAATGTATAGACTAATATATCTGTTCCCGACTCGACAGACACTAACCATCGAACTACTTTTCAATGATCAGAATTATACTGTAGTATTATACTCATGAGAGCGGGTCAACAGCGGACTGATGCGGGTGTAAAAGAACACAGAAAGTAGGAAAGTCGTATTTGAAAATTGTGGTGGAGGCTCGTTTTTCTGTCACACATTAATTGTTGGTACCAAGTTAATTCAGTAACATTTGTTTTCGCGAAGCAACAACCATGTATATTACTTCATCTAATTTTAGCTCATCTTAATTTTATGATTTCCAATGTTCGCTCGACAAGAAATAGTATAAATATTGAAAAATCGTACTAAGAAATTCTTACTGTTATCTTAGAACAGTATCGATTTACCGCGGTATTTACAGACTGTTATGAATCCTTCAAGTTCTCATAATATTTTCACTAATAAATAACTGTGAATGACAGCAACATGTCGGTTTAAAACTTTGTCTTGTTTTTATTGATTAGATGGAATGCGACCTGAAAAAAACATTGAAGTTAATTGCCAATTTATGTGATTACAGGAACATTTGTAATAGCCAATCGATAATAATAATGTTATTATAAAACTGATAACGTCTGGTCTGCCAATACATCTTTGTTAATTTCTCTATAATTATTGTTTGTGTCAATTTCCAATTGAAAGGTCGTTATGTCAATTTACAATTGAAAGGTCGTCAGTCTGGAAACTACTTGTACACATGATATAAGTTGTAATTGATCGAAAGAAAAGAATAATAGCTTCATTTGAAAATTAAACACCGAAAAAAAAAGAATATGTCGTGTCTGACAGTGTCTTATTATCTCAACAGAATATAGTTGTAACGGTGCTCCGACACCCTATGACGTTACAGAACAAGTTAAGGAAAGATGTGATTACAAACGTAGCTGCACAGTACCATCAGAGGACTACGTGTTCAACGACGGCTGCGTGGAAAATTCCAAAGAACTGGAAGTGACATTTCATTGTTCGGGTAGGCAGTGTTATTATAGATGGTATTTAAGTTATGTTATGATATTTTGCAACTACACAATGTGTTGTTACATTGTATAGTATTGTCTCTATACCTCTGTATACTGCCGGTCATATATCGAGTGACTACATTGAATAATAATTAGTTAATACTTGAATACACGTGCAGTTTTATCAAGTAATATGTTAACCGTATAAGAAAAAGCGGATGCGCCCAACGACAAATTGTATTAAACACCTGTCATAGCCACTATCCGATATGCATTAAATCCACGATTAAAGAAACAAGGAAAAGAGAATTTTGCTTGATTTGCTGTTTGAATAGATCAATTTATAGACCACCCTGGCTACGCACACCATCTAGCACCCTTAATACATTAATAAAAATCCGTGTCCAAAAGGAATTAAAGGGTGGCAGTTGTCGCGCTGCGCATGAGCGACATTTGTGTTGATAAACATTGATTTTCCCACAATTCAATGTGCTCTTCTAATGGAAATCACAAGTATGATTTTTGATCTGGGCGCGACTTGCACTAATTACAGCCGATGACTCTTTCGCTACATTTCAATCACCTAAAAAACCTAATTGAAGCTTGGTAACGCCTCAGTTTGTACTCGTTGATCTGCGCAACACTCAAGGTCGCCATCTTGGTTTATATGAGACTCATAGATCTCGCGCATGCGTGATGCGACGACTACCACCCTTTAAACAGCCGTGTCGACATAAACATACAGCAGACGAACTTTTATTGAAAAAACTCTCGTGGAGAAAGATGATACCATGACGGATTTCATACACGATGTCCTGTTCATTCTCTTTTCATGCACACAAATCAGTAATTTTTTTCAATGACGAAACTGAAAACACTACACCACGGCAAATCTTCTCACGTTATATCACAGAGTCAACACCAAGTAGCGAAACTGTTATCTCCTGCGAAGAAGATGAACAACAATTGAGCATTACGTGTAATAGTGGCCAGTTTATTTACATCACTGAAGCTAATTACGGTCGGGCGCTGAGCACAGTTTGTCCAAGTATATCTGACAATACGTCTGTTTCCACATGTCTGAATCCAAACACAAAGGCATTAGTGTCGGGGTACTGCAATGGAATGTCCTCGTGTAGCATACGGGTCAGTTATAAAGTTTTCTACTACATTTCGCAGTTGTGTTTTCAAATCACATTATACTTAGATATAATGCGTTTGACGGTGTTGAATAAAAAATACTAATTTTACTCAGTGTAATTTACAGGGTATTAAAATGTCAAACTTTGAAATTGCTAGTGTATATTCACTCTGAGGTGGTTGTTCAAATGTATTCAAACGAAAGTGTACTGATCCCAGACTAGGCAATTTTTTTGTGTCAAAGAAAATTTACGTTCATAGATTCAGCTTAGCTAAAAAGCGTAATCGACGGACACACCCGCCACCTCATTCCTATTGTCCATCCAATTTTGTGCAACATTAATTCAGATGTTTTCAATACTAGAAATGTTTTTGTTATCCTTGCAAAAGGTTCATCCCGATTACCTAGGTGGAGATCCATGCCCTGCGGTTGCTAAATATTTAATGGTGGAATTCACTTGTACAGGTAGGTCACTACACACAAATGTGGCTACTATCTTTTTTTATTGCAGTACTTTGAACGCGAATGTTTAGGAGCGAATAATGTAACAATCTTAATGAAACACACTAATAATAAAGGAAGCAAAGAATGAATGAATCAATCAAAATACTTATATATATGTAATATTTTTTTTCCAGATGAAAGGCCGTCTGGTATTTTACTAGCACGTGGTTGTGAGGATAATGGAGATGTCGTGCTATCGTGTCCAAATGACTATGCTATTCGAATTGTAACTGCAGACTTGGGGAGAGCAGCAGGTAACAGTCTCCGCCATCATTAGTATTCAGATCATGTTCAGTCTTGCACGATTACCGGAAAAAATAATATGATATCGATCCATACGTTAATGATTTAAAGTGTAATATAGTTGTCATGCAAACATACTTTTCTTCTCAGCACGAGTTATATTATATTTTACGTTTGTTATGATAACACAAAACACGACTGTTGTAATCGCGTAGAATACAAATATACATAAGCATTGCGTCTAGACACCACGATTACTGATAGCTATTATATGAGAAACCCAGTGATCTAACAGAACAACACAGTAATAGGATTATTCGACAAGGAAAAATAAACCTTACAGGCAAAGTGTAACAGTACTGTTATAGGGCAGTTTATTTTCGGGGAATTTACGTTACAGGGCATATATGCAATTTATTGCGGAGGAGAAAGTCGCATTGTTTTGTTTATGTTATGGAAAACTATTACGCACTTGAAATTGAAATTGGAAATGTTTCAATAATTTTAGGATTTATGCCTATAATAATTTACGCCTGTCTCATCTCATGTCTGCAAGGGCAATTTTGAAATATGAAATAATTTCAGGATGCAAACCAGTGTAAAAATAAAAAAAAATGACCCATGACCCAAATTAGTTTTGAAATTCACATTCATATATATATATATATATATATATATATCTACGTACTTTTCAACTTGGTCAGAACATGAAATAATTCGTTTAACGAAAATCTTTTTCGATAATCAGTATAACTAGTGACACATAACTCGTATATCTGTGAACTTTGATGCTGTTTATGAATAATTATCTTTGTTACCCGTCAATTCTCGAGTGTTCTCACGACAATAAGAGAAATGTAGGATGTGCAAAAAAAACAAAAAAAACAGGCAAAATCTGTTTTAAATTCAGACGTAACAATTGTTTAATTGATGTGTTTAATGTATTTAGTTGGGCCAATGATTTAAATTGACATACATATATTGCATTATCTAATTTATCGTCACTCGATTACATTTAACTTAACATAATTATACTGTTAGTCGCGAAACGCGGCTTTGTTTGATGTATTTCGGATGTATTCACGTTAAATGCAAAATCGCTTTTATACATTATATTATATTCTTGCCAAGGGCATTGCAATTTTGAATCAAATCACACTGTTTTTCATTGCGTCCTGTTTTGCGGGAATAATACTGTCATAGAATAACTTTTACGTTAACGTTAATTTTTACGTGACACGTCAATACGATTTCAATGACATTGTACCTATGAACTCAATCAATGTCATATTAGATTTTCCATTTCTGTTGTATTGATGTATATGGTATATTCACGTGGGTGGAATCATTGCTAAAGTTCCATGGAGCAGATTTTTTCCACGTTGTTCTCGGAAACAGTGGAACTCAATTCAAAGTGATCAAGTAATATGGGAATACAGAAAATGGCCAATTGGACTTTATACCATTTCAATCTGATTTAAGGTAGCGAGACTATTATTTGCATACTTGTTTTCATCTTCTAATTGTGACTAAATGACTACAAATAGACCCGGGAAAGTATATATTTTTAGAATCGCCAGACTTCAAGCTTTTCACAAGTGTATTTTGCATGCCCGTATCTGCATTCTACGACGCGTTACCCAATCAAAGGTGAAAAATTACTTTTTCTGTAAAAAAAATAATTACGCATTTACACTGGCGATAAGAAGTATTTTTTTCACTTTTCCTAGTTGTTCAATAGTCTGGTAAATTGAATGTGTCTGGTCAGTTTTATTCAAGCAACGCGTTTTAAAAAAATAGTGTGCTGAATTTCAATTACTGTT